AAAAAAAAAAAAAAAAAAGGAAGAGAGAAAGGAAAGAAAATATGACAATACTATCGCAGCGATGGTTATTCGTTTCATTTTTTTTTTTTTTTTATTTTTTATCAGTGCATTTATTGTCTTATTTTGAAAGGTCGATGCGAAAATACAGTGATTGCGCGCAACGTGTGAGAGAAGCACATAAAATATGTAAAAGTGGATTTTATTCATCAGTTTAAAGATGCAAAAAATACGTGTGTTCATTTGAATATTAGAATCCCTTTGAATACTAGAATCTGAGATGTTTAAAACAATTGATTTATTTATTACAGGTTCGAATACTTGTCATAACAAAATACTTATGTTATATGTATTACATATTATGTAAAATATTTTGAAATTGACAATTATTATGATTATATTGTTAAAGTTAATTTTAAGATGAGATATACATAAAAATTACGAGTATATCTATATTTAGTGAAAAATTGCAAACATATCTATATTTAATGAAAAATTAGTATACAGCATGAAAAATTGTTACCTGTGATCTGATTGTTTCAGTAGATACTTTTATGGTTGCAAATATATACTCGTATACAAATAATTTCTATGTATTTTTTAGATTTGTTCCAAGTTTGATCAAATACACTTAATCAAAATACTTGACTCTCAGTACAGTGATAATGAAATTTCGAAATCTTTCGTAATAACGCACATAATATATTCATAAAAGTGTCCAAGTATTAAAGCCTCAAAATAGAATAATATTGTACAAATAATTTTATAATCAATAATAAAATAATTAATTTACTAATTAGAGATTCATATTATCGTAAATGTATCAAAAGTTCAAAAATGAATGTAATCCTTAATTTATCAAGCTTTTAATAATTTCAACCATCTGAAGGATCAAAGTAAAAATTTCACTCGTCACAAACTCAGGCGGTTAAATAGCAATTTCGTTCATTTATTTCATCCACTTTCTATTTGCCGAGCGTTCTGTTTCACTTTCACAGATCACAGATGCCTACTCTCGTTTTAATAACTGCGACTATCCTTCTTTCCTATTCTTGCAATCGCTGTAAACGTTACATCCGATGCATCCCGTGATTTTCCCTTAATTTCCATCTCCGTCTTCTCCACCCACCCTTCACACGTTACGTGCAAGAACATATCGATGCGGATATTTCGCGGAGCAAAGAAAAAAGAAAAAAAGAAAAGAAGAAACAGAGGAAAAACACGAAGAGCAAATCAGAAAGAAGTAACGGAAAATAACCAAAAAACAAGAGAGAAAGAGAAAAAGGAAGACAGCAACCAGAAAGATAGAGCAAGCGGAGAAACCAGGCTTGATCGAGCCACCCTCGTGTGTTACTCGTTTCGTCATACGATAGCGTGCAAGAACGACAGAGAAATCACGCAAAAGCGGGATCGAGAGAGAGAGAAAACCTAGCGAGAGAATATATAT